GTAGTAACAGTGACAGTAGCAACAGTAACAGTGACAGTAGTAACAGTGACAGTAGTAACAGTGACAGTAGCAGTAGTAACAGTGACAGTAGCAGTAGTAACAGTGACAGTAGTAACAGTGACAGTAGTAACAGTGACAGTAGCAACAGTGACAGTAGCAGTAGTAACAGTGACAGTAGCAGTAGTAACAGTGACAGTAGCAGTAGTAACAGTGACAGTAGTAACAGTGACAGTAGCAACAGTGACAGTAGCAGTAGTAACAGTGACAGTAGTAACAGTGACAGTAGCAGTAGTAACAGTGACAGTAGTAACAGTGACAGTAGCAACAGTGACAGTAGCAGTAGTAACAGTGACAGTAGTAACAGTGACAGTTGTAACAGTGACAGTAGCAACAGTGACAGTAGCAGTAGTAACAGTGACAGTAGCAGTAGTAACAGTGACAGTAGCAGTAGTAACAGTGACAGTAGTAACAGTGACAGTAGCAACAGTGACAGTAGCAGTAGTAACAGTGACAGTAGTAACAGTGACAGTAGCAGTAGTAACAGTGACAGTAGTAACAGTGACAGTAGCAACAGTGACAGTAGCAGTAGTAACAGTGACAGTAGTAACAGTGACAGTAGCAACAGTGACAGTAGCAGTAGTAACAGTGACAGTAGTAACAGTGACAGTAGCAACAGTAACAGTGACAGTAGTAACGGTAACAGTGACAGTAGTAACAGTGACAGTAGCAACAGTAACAGTGACAGTAGTAACAGTGACAGTAGTAACAGTGACAGTAGTAACAGTGACAGTAGCAGTAGTAACAGTGACAGTAGTAACAGTGACAGTAGTAACAGTAACAGTGACAGTAGTAACAGTGACAGTAGTAACAGTGACAGTAGTAACAGTGACAGTAGTAACAGTGACAGTAGCAGTAGTAACAGTGACAGTAGTAACAGTGACAGTAGTAACAGTGACAGTAGTAACAGTGACAGTAGCAGTAGTAACAGTGACAGTAGTAACAGTGACAGTAGTAACAGTGACAGTAGCAACGGTAACAGTAGTAACAGTGACAGTAGTAACAGTGACAGTAGTAACAGTGACAGTAGTAACAGTGACAGTAGCAACAGTGACAGTAGCAACAGTGACAGTAGCAGTAGTAACAGTGACAGTAGTAACAGTGACAGTAGCAACAGTGACAGTAGCAACAGTAACAGTGACAGTAGTAACAGTGACAGTAGCAACAGTAACATTTACAGTAGCAACAGTGACAGTAACAACAGTGACAGTAGTAACAGTGACAGTAGTAACAGTGACAGTAGTAACAGTGACAGTAGTAACAGTAACAGTGACAGTAGCAACAGTGACAGTAGCAGTAGTAACAGTGACAGTAGTAACAGTGACAGTAGCAACAGTGACAGTAGCAGTAGTAACAGTGACAGTAGTAACAGTGACAGTAGCAACAGTAACAGTGACAGTAGTAACGGTAACAGTGACAGTAGTAACAGTGACAGTAGCAACAGTAACAGTGACAGTAGTAACAGTGACAGTAGTAACAGTGACAGTAGTAACAGTGACAGTAGTAACAGTGACAGTAGCAGTAGTAACAGTGACAGTAGTAACAGTGACAGTAGTAACAGTGACAGTAGTAACAGTGACAGTAGCAGTAGTAACAGTGACAGTAGCAGTAGTAACAGTGACAGTAGTAACAGTGACAGTAGCAGTAGTAACAGTGACAGTAGTAACAGTGACAGTAGCAGTAGTAACAGTGACAGTAGCAGTAGTAACAGTGACAGTAGTAACAGTGACAGTAGTAACAGTGACAGTAGCAACAGTGACAGTAGCAGTAGTAACAGTGACAGTAGTAACAGTGACAGTAGCAGTAGTAACAGTGACAGTAGTAACAGTGACAGTAGTAACAGTGACAGTAGCAACAGTGAGTGAGTGAGTGAGTATGGTTTAACGCCGCTTTTAGCAATATTCCAGCAATATCACGGCGGGGGACACCAGAAATGGGCTTCACACATTGTACCCATGTCGGGAATCGAACCCGGGTCTTCCGCGTGACGAGCGAACGCTTTAACCACTAGGCTACCCGACCGCCCCAGTAGCAACAGTAACAGTGACAGTAGTAACAGTGACAGTAGCAACAGTAACATTTACAGTAGCAACAGTGACAGTAACAACAGTGACAGTAGTAACAGTGACAGTAGTAACAGTGACAGTAGCAACAGTGACAGTAGCAACAGTAACAGTGACAGTAGCAACAGTGACAGTAGTAACAGTGACAGTAGCAACAGTAACAGTGACAGTAGTAACAGTGACAGTAGCAACAGTAACATTTACAGTAGCAACAGTGACAGTAGCAACAGTGACAGTAGTAACAGTGACAGTAGTAACAGTGACAGTAGCAACAGTAACAGTGACAGTAGCAACAGTGACAGTAGTAACAGTGACAGTAGTAACAGTGACAGTAGTACCCAAAGTGTCATCTTGATGTGGGAGGGGAGCTTGAAGTGATGTCAGTGGTAGCCTTTCACCACTTATCAAGATTGATAATAACTCAGCCAGAAAATCAGACACACAGGCCCAACATAGCAGTAACCATACGGGAGTTAGAGAATTTAGAAACGGTTTAAACGAGGATCCATAATGTGATGTGGCAGCCCATGTGAAAATTCATATAATTTTTTCATTGAATGTCCATTTTCTAAATCAGCTAGAAACAAATTGATGCACTCACTATTGTTAATTGTAAAAGATACTTGCAATGTAAATATTGACCTGATGCCAGATGGCAGTTTTACCTAAGCATGGGAACGAAAACATTTTTAGAAATGTACATACATACATAAAGAAAACATTAAGGTTTAAGTGTTATTGTTCAAACGTTTCTCTAATTCTTTTCTTTCCTCTCTGTCATGTAATGTACCATTATTAAATATAAATAAGCATATATGAAAATCAATGGGAGAGGGTGTTCTTATTTGTGATAACTTTTGCCCAATCCTTTTCCTTAGAATAAATTATGTATAAACTGAAAAAAGAAAGTTAGAGAATAACCAACACGAAACAAGTAAATACAGATTATCTGTCCCGAGCAAATGGACAAGACCAGTATATCAGCCATACAGGATCCATATATCAGCCATACATGATCCATATATCAGTCATACAGGATCAGTATATCAGCCATACAGGACCAGAATATCAGCCATACAGGATCCATATATCAGCCATACAGGATCCATATATCAGCCATACAGGATCAGTATATCAGTCATACAGGATCAGTATATATCAGCCATACAGGATAAGTATATCAGCCATACAGCATCCATATATCAGCCATACAGGATCCATATATCAGCCATACAGGATCAGTATATCAGCCATACAGGATCAGTATATCAGCCACACAGGATCAGTATATCAGCCATGAAAGACCAGTATGTAAGACATGGAGGACCAGTATGTAAGACATGGAGGACCAGTGTGTAAGACATGGAGGACCAGTGTGTAAGACATGGAGGACCAGCATGCAAGGCATGGAGCACCAGTGTGCAAGACATGGAGGACCAGTGTGTAAGACATGGAGGACCAGTGTGTAAGGCATGGAGGACCAGTGTGTAAGACATGGAGGACCAGCATGCAAGACATGGAGGACCAGTATGTAAGACATGGAGGACCAGTGTGTAAGACATGGAGGACCAGTGTGTAAGACATGGAGGACCAGTATGTAAGACATGGAGGACCAGTGTGTAAGACATGGAGGACCAGTGTGTAAGACATGGAGGACCAGTGTGTAAGACATGGAGGACCAGTGTGTAAGACATGGAGGACCATTGTGTAAGACATGGAGGACCAGTGTGTAAGACATGGAGGACCAGCATGCAAGACATGGAGGACCAGTGTGTAAGACATGGAGGACCAGTGTGTAAGACATGGAGGACCAGCATGCAAGACATGGAGGGTCAGCATGTAAGACATGGAGGACCAGTGTGTAAGACATGGAGGACCAGTGTGTAAGACATGGAGGACCAGTGTGTAAGACATGGAGGACCAGTGTGTAAGACATGGAGGACCAGCATGCAAGACATGGAGGACCAGTGTGTAAGACATGGAGGACCAGCATGCAAGACATGGAGGACCAGTGTGTAAGACATGGAGGACCAGTGTGTAAGACATGGAGGACCAGCATGCAAGACATGGAGGACCAGTGTGTAAGACATGGAGGACCAGTGTGTAAGACATGGAGGACCAGTGTGTAAGACATGGAGGACCAGTGTGTAAGACATGGAGGACCAGCATGCAAGACATGGAGGACCAGTGTGTAAGACATGGAGGACCAGCATGCAAGACATGGAGGACCAGTGTGTAAGACATGGAGGACCAGTGTGTAAGACATGGAGGACCAGTGTGTAAGACATGGAGGACCAGTGTGTAAGACATGGAGGACCAGTGTGTAAGACATGGAGGACCAGTGTGTAAGACATGGAGGACCAGTGTGTAAGACATGGAGGACCAGCATGCAAGACATGGAGGACCAGTGTGTAAGACATGGAGGACCAGCATGCAAGACATGGAGGACCAGTGTGTAAGACATGGAGGACCAGTGTGTAAGACATGGAGGACCAGCATGCAAGACATGGAGGACCAGTGTGTAAGACATGGAGGACCAGTGTGTAAGACATGGAGGACCAGCATGCAAGACATGGAGGGTCAGCATGTAAGACATGGAGGACCAGTGTGTAAGACATGGAGGACCAGTGTGTAAGACATGGAGGACCAGTGTGTAAGACATGGAGGACCAGCATGTAAGACATGGAGGACCAGCATGTAAGACATGGAGGACCAGTGTGTAAGACATGGAGGACCAGTGTGTAAGACATGGAGGACCAGCATGTAAGACATGGAGGACCAGTATGTAAGACATGGAGGACCAGCATGCAAGACATGGAGGACCAGCATATCAGCCATGAAGGACCAGTGTATCTCTCCATGAGAACCAGTGTAACTCACCTCATGGACACACATGAACAGCTCCCAGTCGTACTGAGTGACGTGGTATGCCACCTCCTTGGTGCTCATCAACTCCAGCAGGGCAGCCGTGCCGGACGTTGGTCCTTCTTGCTCCGGAAGCGGTGTCTGAAACAATGTAGGCAGGTTTACTATTCAATCAATAACAATAAGACACTTAGATCACACTCCTATATATTGATTTAAACTACATGCCAAGCCATCAATGGTATGTCACTGCGAGATTCATTTACAAAAGGAAAGGAAAAGAAAATATATGCCGAAAGGAACACTGCCTATAGGCCCGAAGTAGTTTGTTGGTCCTGATGGCAGCAGGAATTTGTTTTATTTTAACACTGATTGCGATTATCGCATTCTGCATCATTTAGTGCTCATTTTTCTCCTACAGTATATCAAGGGGTAGGTAGCGGCTGGGGGCAGCATGGATAAGATTTTTTTTTAAATAACATTTTGTTACAAATACATAACTGTTCAGCTCCTTGTTTCAGAGGTGAGGTGAAATGAGGTTTAATGTTGCGTTCAAGGATTATTGCGCTTATACAGCGATGTGCATGTGTGCGTGCGTGTGGCTGCTTGTACTACTCCAGGCTAAAGCTGATTTTATAGTGCTAGCCCCCTGAGATACCATGCTGAAGTTTAACATGAATACCCCAATATACCGACTTCGATCCGACCAGTTCTTGTTTTTGCCCCATTTGCCAGGCAGGGTAACAACAAGGGTCATCTTTTAACGTCTTTTGGTATGACGCGTTCAGGGATCCATTCTCCAGGCAGACGCTCTACCACTAGACCACATAGGTGGTCCCTTGTTTCCGAGCAATTGATTGTATGTCTTGAGGCAGTGACTGACAAAATATTGTGTTTCTAACAAATCTACATGATAATTGATAAGAAAAAGACTTAGGACTTAATACTTAATACTTATTTCCCCTGTACATGCAGTATAGTTACCAGGGCATCAAGGTGCTCCCGGGGTGTCACAAACAGCCGCCCGTTGAGGCTCAGGCCTGTTGTCACACACAGATCATTTTTCTTGTAAATGATCCGTTCTGAAATTGAAAGAACAGAACAGTGATCTTGACCTAACAAGTCACGTCTAAAATCCGAATTAAAAAGGTTCATGTGATAACTAAAAACTTTCTTCCATGTGGAATCTGGGAAAGAAAAGGTCCCAGCTACCTACATTCTGTTACTGTTGCTAGTACTGGTACCTTAGGAAACAATGCTTGTACTGAAGCTAAGCTCCTGAACCAAAATTAAAAGAATAAAGAAGTTGAAACCCATGTCAAAATGCCACTTAAAATAGGTTTTAACTCGTGAGTTATTGCATGCATTTTCAAAATTATATTTTCATATACTTCAGCTCCCAATATATTGTAATATCTATTGCAATGCAGATACCCATATTGCACTATGTTGCAATACAAATTTTTGGCCAATACATAGCCTTCATATCTGGCAATACATGTTTAACTTCAACCCCCTTCGAACACCCATGATTGCCCATCAAGAAGCTGCACCCACCTCCAGTTGACTTGACCTCACACAGAACCAAGTCATCTCCCAGGCACAGCTTCTCCTGAGCATGGCCCACGATCTCTGCCACAATGGTTGCCATGGGAACCTTGATGGTGCTGTATGTGTGATCGGCACAATACACCTTAAAGATGTCTGCAATAATACATAAACAGTCATCTATATGTGGGATGTTTGTATATCTGAACTCAAGTCTCATTAAAATCACATGCTTTACTGCGATGTTATGCCTCAGTGTGTGAAGATCTGACAACACCTTCACGGATCAAGCTTAACTTTCTTATCAGCCAATCAGTGTCAATTAAGGCTTCTAAATTCTTCGTAAGAGTGAAGCATTCAGACAAGCATATCAGATTACTGTATCTCAAAAACGAATACAAAAAGGTTCCATAAGCAAAAACAGAAAGCAGAACTTTTGACATTGTTGTGGTCACGAAAAAATAGGGCATGAAAAAATGACTATTCTATAATTTAAAATGATAAAATTGTAAATTTGAACATTAATAAGGGACTGGTAATGTATTCTGGGGATCGGGGAGGGGAGCCTGAAAAAATGTTACATTAATTTGGGGGGCATATAAAAATGTTACATCAAATGGGCAGTCCTAAAGACCACCGACCGACCCCACCCCCTAATAAAATTAAATGCCTGTAGTATCTTACAAGTTATGGGAAGCAACTATTAGTCTAGGTGAACACCCTACTGCATACTGAATGTAAACACATCATCTGCATGGAACACTTGGCAGATTCTCTCCTTCTAACAGGTCCTTTGAAATGAACATTTTTCATTAAAATATAATCAAGAACAAGAGGATTTATCAGGACTTGAAAAACTTCATAACCATGACCTCAATAAGTATGAAAAGAAAAACTCATTCTGATGACGTATCTGGATGTAGTTTGAAAATCAGGCATTATTTATAACTGCTATTCACATTCTCTGCGTGTTGATCAAATAGTTAGGGTACTGGTTTTGTTTTTGGTCGGTTTATTTTTATTGTTATTTTTTATTTTTTGTGTGTGCATGCATACGTGCGTGCGTGTGTGCGTGCGTGCGTGCGTGCGTGCGTGTGTGAGTGCGTGCGTGTGTGTGTGAGGGGGTCATCTTGGAAAAGCAATCCAAAGCAACTAAAAGCAATCCATTATGACTTGCACTAAACATACCCTCCCCAAATATCTGGGAGCAGGACAAGACACCTACTTTCATCTGAAGGCTTAATGGGTCTCCTCTTCTTGGAAGTTTCACTCAAGCTGATCTTGGAGGCCTTCCGGCTGAGGATAAGTGTCGGGGTGATCTTCCTCTTGGCCTGCTTCCCTTCTGGGGGAGAACTGCAACAGTCAGTCGATGAGTAAGTTGGGTTTAACATCGATTTGTTAGTGCTGACAGCCCTAGAAACATGATCAAGGCGATTCAGCAGTAGTCAGTATGTTACACAGAGTTTGCAGCTCTTCTTGCTGTCTTCAGTCATTATCAGTTTAACTTATGGGTGAGGCTTGTCTTATGCCACAGTAATCAGTATTCCAGCTATCACAGCAGCCTGAGCCAGACAAACCAGTGATTGACACCTAATCACTAATGGTCTCTGCCATAAGGGCATGATGACACACAACCAGCCAGTCCTAGTTAGTTAGGTCTAATAATGAGCATGTGGTACTAGGGTACCCTCCAACTACATGACCCCAAACCTAAGACAATGAAACATATTTCATGTTTTTCATACGGACTACATGATAAATTTGTGTTTAGCTCAAAAGTCATACAGTGTTGATGAAGATTCTATTTATTATCTGAAAATCAGTAATTTATCTGGGATAACTACATGCCTTTGGCAGCAAATTGGAAAAAAATTGTGACAATGTTCAAAATCAATTTTTTTAATGTTCTTATTTTGAGGAGTTGTAATTAAAAATTGGGAATTTTTACTGTCATTTCCAGCAGATTTTTGGCCCAATATCAGCTCTAGATAAAATTCTGAAAAATAGTATTATGTCTATAGGTTGTAAGTTTCTGGGTCAACTTATATGTGAATAAATAAGAAGAGTGAGCTTCTAAATAAACCCTTGTACTTGAGGTAAGTATGGTCATACATGAACACAGACTTCCAGTAGTTGGCCATGTGCGGTGCAAGGGAGGTAACCCCAGCTATTGTTGTTATAGTGCTTACCACTAGCTAGGATATGAATCTACATCCTTTTTCCTTTAAGAAAAATACTAACTTGACAAATTTGTTTTTGAAATGAAACATCTAATCGGTCTTTGTGACACTGCCCAAGATTGTTACAAGAGGTAAGTGTAAATGAGAAGTCCAATGGAGGTATGACTTTCTCTTGAGAATAATAAAGTTTGTGTCTCTGAAATTATAACACTTGAAATTAACAAGAAATTGAATAATACTGTTGAATTCCAGTGGTCATTATGGAATGTCTTTAGATCTTGTATAGGCATTCATCACTTACAAGTACAAGTTCCGGAGCACAAGCAGTTTCAGCCTTGAGTTGCTCACTTCTGGCATTTGTCATGGGTAAAACTGTCATTACCTCAAAGGAAATAGACTTTGCAAGGTAGGTAGCCATACCGAGAATTGTCTGAGCGATGGAACATGATCTAGAGTCAGCATTTCAAAGATTGCAGTGACCTTCGCAGGATCTGGTTTGACTCCTTGGTCAGTTAATGAATGTCCAACAAAACTGACCACTTTCACTTTGAAGTGACATTTGTCCTTGTTGAGTTTCAGCCCTATTTCCACAGCTCTGTCCAGCACTTCCACTGCATTCTTGTCATGCTCGTCTTCGTTTTCACCCCATATTATGATATCGTCCATGATGCCCTAACATGGCAGGCCACTAAAAAGCATGTCCATGTTCCTCTGGAATACCTCACTTGCTGAGGTGATACCAAACGGCATGCACAAGTAACGATATCTGCCAAATGGCGTGGTAAAGGTGGTAAGCAGTGAAGTCCCATGTGTCAAAGCTATCTGACAGAACCCTTTCAAAGCGCCTATTTTGGTGAATATCTTTGCTGATGGCATTCGGGACATTATTTCCTCATTCGTTTGTCTCTTCAATGTACGGTTGAGAATTTTTGGGTTCAATACACATCTGTACACTTTCCAAACCCTTTTTCTTTGCCACTACCATTGCTGACACCAAATCAGTTGAAGATTCTAGACTTACTTGCTTTTCGACTGCATAGCAATCATTTCCAGAAGGTCGAGCTCCTCTGCAAGAGCTGGGTACATCATACTGTCTTCCTCCACAGCAAGCTGCAGCTCCTGTAACACAACTAGGTTTGTAGAACACCCCTCTCTGCTAACAATAGAACCATATAGTTCAGGTTTGCTGCATTGAACATCAAAACTGTTAACTTCTGATGTTGAAGACCATGAGTATGCATGCCTACCAAATGTTTGCGCAAGGATCAAACTTGAAACAAGACTGTACTTTCTCATCCTGATTGATAGCAAAATATGTCTGTAAAGTCTACAGATGCCTCAGTGTATAACCTCATTTAAATCACAACTTTTACCTCGTTTCTATATCTCTCTGTATGAAGATCTGACAAATCCTCCATAGTATGTAACATCATTGGAACCCTTATTTAACTTTCCCAGTGATTGGCCAAAGAAATTAAAATGAGCGAATCATATGTCAGCTTTCTCAAACTGTTCAGATTCACAGAATTGGATAAAATGGTCTGAATAAAACAAAATCCAAATAAACCACAAATATTCCTTGAAGAAAAGCGCAGGGTGTTAAATTGCCTCTAATGTTCTCCATTCAGAACTGCCCTTTAAATGTCTTTTTTCAGGCTATCATGCAGAGAGGTACTGAATCAGGATAAAATATGTGATTCTAAAATCAATCAATCAATGGCATTTGATTGGCTAACCAAGCAATTCCTTTGGCATAAATATTTCTATAAACCTCAAAATATTAGGCTACACCCACTAGAGAATACTGTTTCCTGACTGGATGATAATAGGGTGGGTGGAGCTTGTGTTGCATTATTGCACTGACACTGAAGGCGTATCATCTACAGATGTATTAAAATTGTTCGCCTCATGATTGTACCATATCGATAGGAATAACAGACAAGCCAATGGTGCAGTCAATAGTATGTATAACAATCGATAGTTTCAATACTGGCAAGCAGTTATAAATAAAACATTAATCATGTGTCAGAAAACTCTCCTTTACAGTCTCATGTCACACCTGCCATGTGTTGATTAGCAAGGATTACTACTACAGATTTGAGTTACTTCCCTTTGGCTTGAGTAGCAACAGGGAAGAATATGGAATATGACTTTGACATTCTTGGCAATTTGTTTATTCATTTCTATTACGTTGATTGATATAAGTATCAAGCCTCAAAAATGGCTTCACACCATCGCAATACTATTGCAATAGTGTGAAGTACTATTGTCATACAAATTCAATAGTGAATAGTCATTGTCCTAGCCCTATTGTCATACCCCCATAAAATGTCGGATGACTTTATCCTCCAAGAAGTCCTCGGACACGATGCTCTGCCACTCCTGTGCGAACAGGACCACACTGCGCTTGTGTGTCTCCATGTACTCTGCTATCTCCTGGTCGGTTCCCTGCGTGGCCTCGGCGTCGTAGCTCACTCGTCAAGGAAGTCTCAGTGTTAGAGGTGTGTCGCACATACACCCACCTCCCTCTGTCTCATCTCTCTCAACTTATTGTATTGTATGCAGAAGTTTACTTTGCAGAATAAAAAAAATAGTGCTCTAGTATTATTTTCAATTTTTCACTTTTCATTTTTTTTGAGTTGTGGATCTGTTAATCAGATTTTAACAATAGTATCATCTGAATGAGGTTGTGTTACGTGATCACTCCCTCCCTCCCTCCTTCACTCACTCACTCAATCAATCATTTGGGAGATAAACATTATGTGTGTTAGGATTTGTTGATGTTTTGTTGACACAGACATAACTTCACTCTTGAATGCTTTGAAATCATGATACAGTCCATGACGTAAGTGCTTCCATGATAACTGAACCTACATGGTTAGCAGTATGTGGACAAAAAACTAAATCAAAGTTGTTCTGATATAGATTGACCAATCATAATAATTACTGATATGGTACTATTTTGCCAAGCCAAATGGCACATATGTTTTAAAAATTTGGGTTGAGAAAATAAAGATACCTATCAAGGGAAGTAATAATATATAGTGACAAGACTGAAAGATTTCTGGGATGAAATCCCTTTAACAACATTTCAACCAATCAGACTACAGCACACTCTCTCATTCATTTCAATTCCATTTGATAATCACCGCCAAGGATACTGGTTCATCAGAGCCTTACACAGTCTCTCATTGGGCATAAAGATGACCTGAGTCAGCAAAAAGTCTTCCAGGAAATTATCTGAATATGGAAATTACTAATTCACGAATCAAATTCAAACAGATATGTCCAGCCCAATCAAATAAACATATTAACACTGGAAACATGCATGGGTAACCACAACAAAAACTTTAATGTTAAGCTTAAATTACTGATACCACTTTTTACCATATTAGACTCAAAACATGAGATTAAAGCATGCACAAAACTCAATATAAATGGAAAGTGAAGAAACGAAAAAGGGTGAATGTCACGTACGCTTACGTTTGGAGATGGCCACCACCTCCATGGCCATCTCTTCCGTTGACTTGTCGACGGGCAGCCATGTCTCCAGAAGGTGCTCCAGCATCTTCTCGGGCGTCCCAGCCATCACGGAATACCTGGAAGGACATTAAAACCATCCTTAGTTATCCAGAGTATCATATTGCAATTCTAATATGATATAACTTGTTTAAGTGGCAGAATTGGTAGGATGGACATGGCATCAGCAGAACATATCATCTGCTGCACTGCGGCAGCCCTTGGACCCTTTGAAGGCCTCCTGACAATAGTCAAGAAACACAAGAAGAAGTGGTTTGGTCACATCACCTGAGCAACCGACCTTGCAAACACCATCCTGCAAGGCCAGGGAAAACAAGAAAGAAGTGAGCAAAGCTCACATACCCCCGTTATCCTCGCTGGTCAACAACAAATAGTAAATAATTTGTTAATTAATGAAATATACCTGTTGCTTTAAGTCAGAGGAACTGCCCTTTCCTTTGTAACCCCATGAGGATGCATTATGTTTGAAATGAACACATGTTTTGCAAATATATTTCAATCTAGTGTGGGATAATCAAAGCTTAGCACAACATACATTCTTGATGTTTCTTAATGTATCCATGGAAACGGCCAAAATTAAAAAATTCAGAATCTTCAAACTAGCAAAAGGCACAAGTACTCATTGTAGTTAATCTGTGTAGAAAGTTTGGTGAAGCTAGGGCGCATGGTTAAAAAGTTATGTGCCGTACAAAAGCTCGGACGTATAACAAGGAAAGGCAGACAATAGGAATGGTGGGAAGAGAAGCACAAAGGTGCATCCAGTATGATTGTGGGTTCGATTTATGTTTCTAGGTTTTTCAGCACCATACCCGTGCGAAGTGGTAAACATCTGAGACCTGCATCACTTCGGGCTTTCCTCCCACATTAATTGTATAATGGGCCAGTGGCCCCTTCACAGAATTAAATCATTCATTCATCAATATCAGTGGTTCCCCGAAAACCCAGAGTTATGGGATGATGATGATGATGATGATGATAATGATGATGATGATGATGATGATGATGATGATGATGATGTTAATGAGCAAGGATAAGTTATTACGGATAAACAGTTTCTTTATTATAATCTACTCCAACATGGCACCTCAATAAAGGAGTTGTTTATCCATAAGAACTTGTCTTTGTTTCTTTTGATATAAACAACCTGGCCCATGCTACAATGCTACCCTGCCATGCTTCTATGAAAGTCTCCATGTCATACAGACATTTGACACAATTGTGACATGTCATAGGTGTTGATCTGAAAATACTTTGATTTTTCATGAATGAATCCCAATTTCTTGTAATTTGACCCACCCTAGAGATCATGTACATACTATATTTCCTCATCAATAATGCTCAAGTTATCGTGTGTACAGAAACTTTATTGACACTGTGTTCATATTGAGTGACCTTGACTTTCAATGTCATCCAATCATATGTGAGAAAAATTCCCCAGGGGTATATAGGAGATATGTCATAACCAACTGCAGCAGCGGTTACATTTGAGCTAACAATTAGCAACTTTGAAGCTTTATTTAAGAGCATCCTAACACAGTGGGCGCTTAAAGCAGGAGTTGGGAAAATAAAGCTGATCAACATACTTGTAGTGTGCTCGCACAGTCCCGTCAGGCCCTTCAATGTTTGTTGGGATCTTCTCAAGGACCAGCACATCTTCCCCATGCTCCTTCAGACGCACGGTATTTGCCTCCACATCCTGATAACACACAGAATGATACATGCAGAAATGGCCAAATGTAAATGGGCAAATGTGACATGTTCAATTTTCACAACTCCTCATGCCAAAATGATAAATAAATAGTACTAATGTTTCTGGTCTTTAGGTTGGCCTGATATGATGACACAATGATATGACTTTTCTTGACAAGCTCATTTGAATGATATTAACAATCTTCATATCCTAGAGGGAAAACATAGTTGTCCTTGTATCAAAATGCCCTTTTTCGTGGTGTAGGGGACATAAATGTTCCCAGTCAAGTGATGGGATTCGAACCACAGATCTTTTGATTCGAGGTCAGATGCTTTGTCCACATGGCCAAAAAGGTAAACCCTCTCAGCAAGATGATAAGGAAAAGATGTTTATCTGTGGGATGACTCCCTGCCCTGCTACATACTCGCCCATCAATGCCCCTGGCATGTTTGTGCAATGTGACTGGCTTCATACCACCGAGGCATTCGTATGAGTGAGTGCGTGAGTGCGTGAGTGCGTGAGTATGGTTTTACGCCGATTTTAGCAATATTCCAGCAATATCACGGCAGGAAGAACCAGAAATGGGCTTCAAACATTGTACCAATGGGAATCGAAGCTAGGTCTTCGACATGACGAGCGATCATATTTTAGCGTAGGCTTTGACAAACACTGACTTCTCATCCGATCAAGCTGGCAATTAGTGCACTCGTTAATTATTTCATGCATGACTTTCAACATCCGGAACCGTTGACGTCCAGGCTCTTTAAAAATCTTGAAAACCAAAAGCCTGGTGCAGCGGTTGCAAATGACATAGAACCAACCCAAAAAAATATTTTTAAAAAACAAAAAAAACTTCATTTCAAAACTTCTCAACTGTTCAAAGACAGGTTTAAGGGATCTGTCATTTATCAATACAGTGTGGTAGATTTGTCCATGAGTGTCAAAATCAGATGACTGTCCATCATCTATTATCAAATGACAAACCATTTTTTTGTTAAAACTGTTTGCCTTCAGATACAGAAGCAAAGTACATGGAAGCACCAAATAAAAAATGGTTTTCATCAGTGGACTGATGAAGCAGTTAAGGCTTACTCAATACCCATCAGGTACAGATCAACTACTCTGTCTACAACAAGGTCTTGTTAGCCTAGGATTGACTTGTCAATTGAGAATATCAAATGGTCAATTTAGTCTGATTATTTCTGATATCCTCACAGCAGCCATATTGATTTTTGCTAAATTTAAAGGTGAACCAAATATTGCAAGTTTGACCTTCACAGGAACACTTGCATCAGGGTCTTGAGTAGCCTGTGACTGGATGCAGATCAGAAAGATCTATAAGTGTATGCTCAAAACAAAAGAAGTACCTCACCGGGATACGTAAACAATAGTTCCAAAGGTCAACAAAGACAGCCAGCTACACCAACCCCGACTCCCTACAGGGTACTTCCCACATGATATATTCTTGTTCATAATGCTTGACATTAAGGGGAGAAAACAAGGACTGGTCGGCTTGGAGTCAGTATACTGTGTCTGAGTGCAGTAACCATTTTAAACTGTGGTATGGTGTCTCAGTAGGCTGGCAACAACACCATTTGTCGGGACTAGTACACACATGCCACTTTATAAATGGAATAATCTTGAATGCGCTGTTAAACCCCATTTCACCTCACCTTGTTCTTGAATTCAAAATTATTTGCAGTTATGTTTTGAGCCATTGATTATAAGAGTAGTGTGTGTGGGTGAATGTTGTTTATTGTGGGATCATAAAGGCATTCACTGGTTTGTTTATTCACTGGCCGCTTTGCCATAATGTGAATATTGCTGAGTGTGCCGTTACACAACAAACAAATGACACATTCTACACATGTACACCATCCATCCTTTAATACAAAACAAAGATTAACTTCCTACCCTCAAAATCCTGTTGAAATCTTCTTTGTCTACTCGAAGAAAGTGACAGCTGTCTTCTCTCAAGACAATGGTGGCAGCCCTTGAACAAATAATAATAATAATAATAATAATAATAATAATAATGACCCTGAATTTCTTGCTTCGTCCAGCAAAAAACACTAAAAGGATGTGAAACGCTCTGTAAATAACAACAACAACTTCAGTCATGTGTCCCTTCAATTTGCCTGTAAGGCACAAGAAGGTTTTGTATTCTGCTGGATAAACAGAAGAAAATTTCAAACAGTTACTTGTCCAAGTAAGACACAGCGCATATATATGTTTCATATAACCTGTATTTCAGTGTAGGGCCGAATCCCAAGAAACTCTCACTGGCCCACCATGGACACTGACATCTACCTCGGTACATCCCTGTGATCACGAGTTCTGCCATGATACAGATATGAATATTCTCCTACCTTGGAGCATCGTTGACCAGCGCAAGCTTGCCGAAGTCGTCACCTTCATGAAGAGTGCACACAATCCCCTAAAACAAGACATTACCTGGTTATGCACTTCGGCAATGTGCACCAATGTCAGTAATATACAATGTTGTATATAGATATATTTTTCTAATAGTTGTAAGCAAATCGATGTGTGAACCCCCCCCCCAAAAAAAATAAAATAAATAAATAAATAAGTAAATAAATAAATAAATAAATAAATAAATAAATAAATAAATAAATAAATAAATTAAAAAAAATTAACAGAATAGCTTTAAAACAGACAAAGAAGTGCCTTGTCAAATGGTTTTTTTCACTGATATAGAACCAAAAACATAATCATTCAATTGATGATATCTCCTAAACAGTGATTGACCATGTGGTCCCTTGCTAGTAGCCTTCTCCGTGTCATAGGGCTGTAGATAAGTCTGGCCAGCAAACCATTGGTTGATAGCATGAACAATAATCCATGCAGCCAGGCCACACTGTAACCACATCATTTTCATTAGTCAGTATTTTACTCTGTGGAACTGGAAATTATTTGGTACAAGTTGACACAAGACCAAGGGTGTCGCACAATATGATTTTTGAAAATCTATAGTTTGATAACTGTTGCTATATTAAGGAACCAATCATTTATTTGAGGGCTTGAGTAAGTGATTGTGTTAACGCCACAGTATTTCACTCACATCGACGGGGGGGCACGGGTGGCCCAGTCATCTAAGGCGCTGCGATTCGCTGTGCAGAGTTGCGTCCCTTGGGCACGCCAGAAACCTATGATTGTGGGTTCGAATCCCGGTTTGCCCAAATTATGTTTCTAGGTTTGTCAGCACCATACCCGTGCTCGTGGGTTTCACCGAAGTGGTAAACGTCTGAGACCTGCATCACTTCGGGCTTTCCTCCCACATAAAGCTGACACGCCGTGATATAACTGGAATACTGTTAAAAGTGGCGTTAAACCCAACTCACTCACTCACTCACTCACATCGACAGGTGTCAACTTTATATTGGAGGAAAGCTAATGTTATGCAGGTTTGCCTTAGTGAAACCCATGAGAATGAAATGGTCACAGATAGTGTTGACTAAATAAGAAGATAATCAGGAAGAATCAGCGGATCCTGGCAAAGTTAAGGGAGTCAATTCTTTATAAGTAGTAGACCACTGGCCACACATTCACACATAAACATCTGCAGATGCTAGATCTATATTTGTATGTGTGTACAGTAGGTCCCCAGACTTACCTTGCCATATATGACGACATTGACCGAGCCCTTGAGGATGATGTACCACGACTTGCCCTCGTCACCCTGGTTGAACACTGCAACATGATACAACAGTACTTCAGGCCAGGTGAAATGGAGTTGACGTTGTGTTTAAGATTATTACACTTATATAGCGATGAGCATACACGTGTGAGTCTGTGTACTTGTGTATGTGTTTGTTGCTGCTTGTATAAAGACTCCAGAGGTTAGTTAGATCATCATCATCATCATCATCATCATCAGTCTTAACATTCTCTGAAAAGTTCTGGGTGACTCCTAATTGTTCTCGGTGCCTTAGGTTTGGTACCTTCTAATCTGTTGACTGACATTGAGAGAGTACCCAGGATTTGCTACCAAGAATGCAGCCCTTCTGACAATCTGGTTAATGTAGAAGGCTGCAGTGTTGGGGAGTCTTCACATTCACCGAAAAGTTCTGGATGTGTTTGACTAGGCAGCACTTCCTGGGATGAGTTCCAAGCAGTGTCTGGGCTTTGTGTAGAGGAGGCAAGGGCCCTGAGCTGATGATGAGCCTAACCAGCCTGACTGTGCCAGGATCACCAAAACCCTCTTTGCTGCATTCACTTATTTTAATTTGTGTAATAATATAAATAATGTGCATATTTATAATATGCCAAATCCTCACTCCAAAGCATTCTCAAAGTCCTAAATAATTTCCCCAGTCCATGGACCAGTGCACAATCGATTATCATTCTCAGCTTCCTGGGGAGTATGCAACCCAAGCTGCCTGTGACATGCTAGAAAATTATCAGTAATTACCTACTTTACCTCATCCTACTTTAACTCTGGGTACAGATCGAGGTATCCAGTCAAAGTCACTTGCCTAAGGAGGCACCACATGTGCTACATGTGCTTCAGTGTGGAGCAGGACTGGAGCTCAGGAGTGAGCTGCTAAACACTGAATGTCCGAGCACTGCGGTGTGGTTGACTCGGTCTACTGTCGTCACACCACAGATGAATGTCCGAGCACCGCGGTGTGGTTGACTTGGTCTACTGTCGTCACACCACAGATGAATGTCCGAGCACCGCGGTGTGGTTGACTCGGTCTACTGTCGTCACACCACAGATGAATGTCCGAGCACCGCGGTGTGGTTGACTTGGTCTACTGTCGTCACACCACAGATGAATGTCCGAGCACCGTGGTGTGGTTGACTCGGTCTACTGTCGTCACACCACAGATGAATGTCCGAGCACCGCGGTGTGGTTGACTTGGTCTACTGTCGTCACACCACAGATGAATGTCCGAGCACCGTGGTGTGGTTGACTCGGTCTACTGTCGTCACACCACAGATGAATGTCCGAGCACCGCGGTGTGGTTGACTTGGTCTACTGTCGTCACACCACAGATGAATGTCTCAGCACCGTGGTGTGGTTGACTCGGTCTACTGTCATCACACCACAGATGAATGTCCGAGCACTGCGGTGTGGTTGACTTGGTCTACTGTCGTCACACCACAGATGAATGTCCGAGCACCGCGGTGTGGTTGACTCGGTCTACTGTCGTCACACCACAGATGAATGTCTCAGCACCGTGGTGTGGTTGACTTGGTCTACTGTCGTCACACCACAGATGAATGTCCGAGCACCGTGGTGTGGTTGACTCGGTCTACTGTCGTCACACCACAGGTAATGTCCCAGCACCGTGGTGTGGTTGACTTGGTCTACTGTCATCACACAACAGATGAATGTCCCAGCACCGTGGTGTGGTTGACTCGGTCTACTGTCATCACACCACAGATGAATGTCCGAGCACTGCGGTGTGGTTGACTCGGTCTACTGTCATCACACAACAGATGAATGTCCCAGCACCGTGGTGTGGTTGACTCGGTCTACTGTCATCACACAACAGATGAATGTCCGAGCACTGCGGTGTGGTTGACTCGTTCTACTGTCGTGACACCACAGATAATGTCTCAGTGGCGTGGTGTGGTTGACTCGGTCTACTGTCGTCACACAACAGATGAATGTCCAAGCACCGTGGTGTGGTTGACTGGGTCTACTGTCATCACACAACAGATGAATGTCCCAGCACCGTGGTGTGGTTGACTCGGTCTACTGTCATCACACAACAGATAATGTCTCAGCACGGTGGTGTGGTTGACTTGGTCTACTGTCATCACACAACAGATAAATGTCCGAGCACTGGGGTGTGGTTGACTCTGTCTACTGTCGTCACACCACAGATAATGTCTCAGTACCGTGGTGTGGTTGACTCGTTCTACTGTCATCACACAACAGATGAATGTCCCAGCACTGCGGTGTGGTTGACTTGGTCTACTGTCATCACACCAAAGATGAATGTCCAAGCACCGTGGTGTGGTTGACTCGGTCTACTGTCGTCACACAACAGATGAATGTCCAAGCACCGCGGTGTGGTTGACTTGGTCTACTGTCATCACACAACAGATGAATGTCCCAGCACCGTGGTGTGGTTGACTCGGTCTACTGTCCTCACACAACAGATGAATGTCCGAGCACTGCGGTGTGGTTGACTCGTTCTACTGTTGTGACACCACAGATAATGTCCCAGCACCGTGGTGTGGTTGACTTGGTCTACTGTCATCACACAACAGATGAATGTCCCAGCACCGTGGTGTGGTTGACTCGGTCTACTGTCGTCACACAACAGATGAATGTCCGAGCATGTGGTTGACTTCGTCTACTGTCATTATACAACAGATGAATGTCCGAGCACAGCTGTGTGGTTGATTCGGTCTACTGTCGTCACACAACAGGTAATGTCTCAACACCGTGGTGTGGTTGACTTGGTCTACTGTCATCACACAACAGATGAATGTCCCAGCACCGTTGTGTCGTTGACTCGGTCTACTGTCGTCACACCACAGGTAATGTCTCAGCACCGTGGTGTGGTTGACTGGGTCTACTATCATCACACCACTGATGAATGTCCCAGCACCGTTGTGTCGTTGACTCGGTCTACTGTCGTCACACCACAGGTAATGTCTCAGCACCGTGGTGTGGTTGACTTGGTCTACTGTCATCACACAACAGATGAATGTCCGAGCACCGCGGTGTGGTTGACTTGGTCTACTGTCGTCACACAACAGATGAATGTCCCAGCACCGTGGTGTGGTTGACTTGGTCTACTGTCATCACACAACAGATGAATGTCCGAGCACTCCGGTGTGGTTGACTTGGTCTACTGTCATCACACAACAGATGAATGTCCGAGCACTCCGGTGTGGTTGACTGGGTCTACTGTCGTCACACCACAGATGAATGTCCGAGCACTCCGGTGTGGTTGACTCGGTCTTCTGTCGTCACACCACAGATGAATGTCTCAGTACCGTGGTGTGGTTGACTCGGTCTACTGTCGTCACACCACAGATGAATGTCTCAGTACCGTGGTGTGGTTGACTCGGTCTTCTGTCGTCACACCACAGATGAATGTCTCAGCACCGTGGTGTGGTTGACTCGGTCTTCTGTCGTCACACCACAGATGAATGTCTCAGTACCGTGGTGTGGTTGACTCGGTCTACTGTCGTCACACCACAGATGAATGTCTCAGTACCGTGGTGTGGTTGACTCGGTCTTCTGTCGTCACACCACAGATGAATGTCTCAGCACCGTGGTGTGGTTGACTCGGTCTTCTGTCGTCACACCACAGATGAATGTCTCAGTACCGTGGTGTGGTTGACTTGGTCTACTGTCGTCACACCACAGATGAATGTCCCAGCACATGGCGTTGTTGAGTATGGCTTATGTAGTCACACCCCAGATAAACGTCTGGGCACCCATCTTCCTGAGGCAAGGGAGATAACTGACTGAATTTCTGGGCTTGATCATAGCGGCACCAGTTGCTATTACGAGTAATGTTCCTTCTATGTCCCTCCTATTGACCAATCAGATTCCATCTCTCATATCACTTGCATTTGTCCAGTGAAGACATTCTGATCGATAATCAAGATTATTGTAACAAAACAGGTCTTACTTCGCGTAGTGCATCAAATCATGTGAACACCTTGATTAAAAACATGAAAAGATATGGAATATATATGTTCATGCTAAATGGGTGATACATCTGGTTACTAAAGTCATCCCACAGCCGATCAATCACCACAGTGTGGTTGAATAGGGCTACTATAGTCACCCCACAGCTGATTGTCTGAACACCACGATGTGGTTGAATATGGCTACTGTAGTCACCCCACAGCTGTTTGTCCGAGCACCACAGTGTGGTTGAATATGGCTTCTGTAGTCACCCCACAGCTGATTGTCCGAGCACCAAGATGTGGTTGAATATGGCTTCTGTAGTCACCCCACAGCTGATTGTCCGAGCACCACGATGTGGTTGAATATGGCTTCTGTAGTCACCCCACAGCTGATTGTCTGAGCACCACGATGTGGTTGAATATGGCTTCTGTAGTCACCCCACAACTGATTGTCCGAGCACCACGATGTGGTTGAATATGGCTACTGCAAAATGTTAACCATAATTCTACTGGACCTCAATTAACTGGTCAATATCTGTTACATAACAGAGGACAGAAATGCACGGTTTACACTGTCAATCATAGAGTGGGCTTCAGCTCCTGGTTCATTGTCCAGACAATCTTGTTTTACAAATACCTCCTACTTACAGACAGTACCGGCCTTGGCATGGGACTCAAACAGAAGGACGCTGGCCAGTTCCCTCTTCACCATGGTGGATAGATGAGACAGAGCCTTGATGTGCAGCAATTCCTCATAGATGATCTCCAAGTCCTCCGATGTCCGCTCGTGGGCCCTACACAGCAGAGGTCATAACTGGTAAAACATGGAATAGCAAACTGTTATATAACAGGGAATGGTAAACTATTATATAACAAGGAATGGAAAACTGTTATATAACAAGGAATGGTAAACTGCTATTTAACAAGGAATGGTAAACTCAACAAGAAATGGTGAACTGTAATATATCTTAATTACTTACGGTTTGCGCAGGATCATCCTCATCATGGCATCGGGTCCGATCTGTGCCAGCAGCGCCAGCGTCTCCCCCAACTCCTCCTCACATTCCTTCCGTTCCCCAGATGTCGGTACTGTCCCCACCCCCTCGTCATCCTCACAGAACCGGTAGAACAAGTACTTGTCCTTGAACTGGTGCTGGTGACACACTGCCGGAAACAAGGGGGAGTTTTGTCAAATGATAATTTGTGTCAATAAAAATTTCAACAAAAAAACATTCACTGGACATGCTGGATGTCCTCAAAAAATGTGTTGTGAAAAATTGTTTGGCATCTCATTCAGAGAAAAAACTTGTAGACTGGCAGACTTAATTGATGCATGTCATCGTATCCCAATTGCATGGATTGATGCTCATGATGTCAATCACTGGATTGTCTGGTCTAGGTTCGATTATTTACAGACCACTGTCACATAGCTGGAATATTGCTGAATGTGGCGTTAAACAACAAACCAACAAACAACACCACTAGTCAACTGACAAAACCAAGGCATGGTAAACTCCCTGGCAAAAGAAAGTAAACATTTGAAAATTGAACTGTCCCATAAATTACAAAATGTTACTAGGCTAGAAACAGATGCCGAAACGCTGCACACTTTAGCAGAGCTCCAGATAAGCTGCATATCTGCGTAAAATACGCATAAAAATGCAGAAATACGCAGTAAAATAAAATCCAAGCGTATCAAATACGCAACGAACATTACGGATTCGCTCCAAAAATAAAACTAGTTCGTATCATCAAAATATTGTGAAGTAACCCTGCGTATTCGATTAGCAAATCAGCAACTTATTTTGAAATTATAAACGGACATTCCGTCAACCTTGCCAAACTCCACGATGACAGTTACATCATGATCATTTGCCATCACACTTTCTTGTGGAAGTATCGTGGTATTTTTGAGTCCTATAAAGCTCTCGAACACACACAACACCAGTTTGCAGGGACTAGATGAATAGTGTTTTTAAATATTTAACTTAAATACCCACATGTGTAAAAACTAGTGGGTAACAGAAATTTAAATGCCCAGATAGAATTACTGATAGCCAAAATTTTAAAATGCATGGGTAAAATACCCACAACACCAAAAGTTTATCTGGAGCTCTTCTTTAGGTCCAAAACAATTAGGATACCCGTATCAAATACATCACCTTCGCATAATCATTTCTTGTTTTTGTTTCTTTTTTAGCGACCATCAAATATGGGTGTTAACTATCTTTTACCCGGCAGTTTAGATTGTATGTACTGACAAGAACACATTCAGTATGGCAGTTGTGCCATACCGTGGGTGCACGCATGGCCTTGACAAGCTACTGACCATGCACAATGACCCCCTCCTCCAGGAGGGCCTGCCACATGCCCACGGCCTGGTTCCGAGAGTGGACGAGGGTACTTGGCTGCAGCAGCCAGTCCACCATCTCAGATCCCACCATGCATCTGCGGTAGGTGCGGAGGTGATACTTCCTGTCTCGGATCATGTGGGGAGCTCGTGTCAGCAACACTGTTCGTATCACATGACCACCACGTGATAACTTTACCGAAGGAATCTAAACAAACAACAGTAGTTTCATCAGCCGTCTACGTATAGGTTAGAGTGTCTAATCATTAGAAATGGTTAGCTGGAGTTCAAGGTGAAGGTGAACCATTTCAGCGATTAGATACCATGGTCCTCGTAATCTAACCTAATTAAACTATGTCCAACATTTATTAACTAAGCACCAAAAATGCTTAAAAGCATTGTTTTGTTAAGGGTATTTTGAAACATATTCAGGAACTCTTTGATCAACTGTGAGAGAACACTGTGTGAGTTGGCCCTGTATGTAGCATGTGAAATATGTTCCCCAAGCCTTTCGACATGCACCTAGCACTTTGCTGACTCAGGTAATGAAATGCCTAGACCCAGGGCATTTACACAATTTTAAAAAACTTGAGCACATTTATCAATCACCTTAACATTACTTGCCAATGTTGAATGGCCTATTATGAGCAAACATAGCCCTGATCAAGATAACAGTAATTTCTTTTCTATCTGTTCCAAATCACAAGTACATACAAATACTACAATGCATAGAGTAACATACTGTATAAAAACTGCATAAAACACATATTTCACAGTTCCTAAACAGATAAACAATTAGTCCTGATGTAAGTAAATATTAAATTAATATCACATAATTTCTCCATTGCAGTGGCAGAAGACTACATTCATTAACCTTCCGTGCAGACTTCACTGGCGACAAACGTTTAGCATGAAATTGTTCCATCATCAATGTAAATAATAGGGATAAAAAAAAGTTCTATCACTGCCATGTGGTGTTTAACTAACAATTCAGGTAGTTAGACCTCGGTGAAAAACCAAGGGGACATGGTTTAAATATGCAGAATTTATAAGTCATACGATTTGTTTGCTTACATTGTCTTCATTTACAAATGGGTTTATCAGTAACTTTTCAGTAACTTGACTAGTAATGTGTGGTACTTACATCTGTGATTTGAGGCTTTTAAGTGCAATATTTACAGTTTTGAAGAAAGACTGATGGTTAAGTGCAATACATGCAGTGTGATGGAGAAGGTGATGCAGTACTTATGGCTGACATGAAAGACTGATTGTTAAGTGCAGTACTTACTGCTGTGATGGGACACTGACAGGAAGGTAAGTGCAGTACTGACGTGATGGAGATAGGGATTAAGTGCATTACTTACTGCTGTGATGGGACGCTGACAGGAAGGTAAGTGCAGTACTTACTGCTGTGATGGGACGCTGACAGGAAGGTAAGTGCAGTACTTACTGCTGTGATGGGACGCTGACAGGAAGGTAAGTGCAGTACTTACTGCTGTGATGGGACGCTGACAGGAAGGTAAGTGCAGTACTTACTGCTGTGATGGGACGCTGACAGGAAGGTAAGTGCAGTACTTACTGCTGTGATGGGACGCTGACAGGAAGGTAAGTGCAGTACTTACTGCTGTGATGGGACGCTGACAGGAAGGTAAGTGCAGTACTTACTGCTGTGATGGGACGCTGACAGGAAGGTAAGTGCAGTACTTACTGCTGTGATGGGACGCTGACAGGAAGGTAAGTGCAGTACTTACTGCTGTGATGGGACGCTGACAGGAAGGTAAGTGCAGTACTTACTGCTGTGATGGGACGCTGACAGGAAGGTAAGTGCAGTACTTACTGCTGTGATGGGACGCTGACAGGAAGGTAAGTGCAGTACTTACTGCTGTGATGGGACGCTGACAGGAAGGTAAGTGCAGTGCTTACTGCTGTGATGGGACGCTGACAGGAAGGTAAGTGCAGTGCTTACTGCTGTGATGGGACGCTGACAGGAAGGTAAGTGCAGTACTTACTGCTGTGATGGGACGCTGACAGGAAGGTAAGTGCAGTACTTACTGCTGTGATGGGACGCTGACAGGAAGGTAAGTGCAGTACTTACTGCTGTGATGGGACGCTGACAGGAAGGTAAGTGCAGTACTTACTGCTGTGATGGGACGCTGACAGGAAGGTAAGTGCAGTACTTACTGCTGTGATGGGACGCTGACAGGAAGGTAAGTGCAGTACTTACTGCTGTGATGGGACGCTGACAGGAAGGTAAGTGCAGTACTTACTGCTGTGATGGGACGCTGACAGGAAGGTAAGTGCAGTACTTACTGCTGTGATGGGACGCTGACAGGAAGGTAAGTGCAGTACTTACTGCTGTGATGGGACGCTGACAGGAAGGTAAGTGCAGTACTTACTGCTGTGATGGGACGCTGACAGGAAGGTAAGTGCAGTACTTACTGCTGTGATGGGACGCTGACAGGAAGGTAAGTGCAGTACTTACTGCTGTGATGGGACGCTGACAGGAAGGTAAGTGCAGTACTTACTGCTGTGATGGGACGCTGACAGGAAGGTAAGTGCAGTACTTACTGCTGTGATGGGACGCTGACAGGAAGGTAAGTGCAGTGCTTACTGCTGTGATGGGACGCTGACAGGAAGGTAAGTGCAGTACTTACTGCTGTGATGGGACGCTGACAGGAAGGTAAGTGCAGTACTTACTGCTGTGATGGGACGCTGACAGGAAGGTAAGTGCAGTACTTACTGCTGTGATGGAACGCTGACAGGAAGGTAAGTGCAGTACTTACTGCTGTGATGGGACACTGACAGGAAGGTAAGTACAGTACTTACTGCTGTGATGGGACACTCACAGGAAGGTAAGTGCACTACTTACTGCTGTGATGGGACACTGACAGGAAGGTAAGTGCAGTACTTACTGGTGTGATTGGACACTGACAGGAAGGTAAGTGCAGTACTTACTGCTGTGATGGGACGCTGACAGGAAGGTAAGTACAGTACTTACTGCTGTGATGGGACGCTGACAGGAAGGTAAGTGCAGTACTTACTGCTGTAATGGGACGCTGACAGGAAGGTAAGTACAGTACTTACTGCTGTGATGGGACGCTGACAGGAAGGTAAGTACAGTAGTTACTGCTGTGATGGGACACTGACAGGAAGATAAGTGCACTACTTACTGCTGTGATGGGACACTGACAGGAAGGTAAGTGCACTACTTACTGTTGTGATGGGACGCTGACAGGAAGGTAAGTGCAGTACTTACTGGTGTGATGGGACGCTGACAGGAAGGTAAGTGCAGTACTTACTGCTGTGATGGAACGCTGACAGGAAGGTAAGTGCAGTACTTACTGCTGTGATGGGACACTGACAGGAAGGTAAGTGCACTACTTACTGCTGTGATGGAACGCTGACAGGAAGGTAAGTACAGTACTTACTGCTGTGATGGGACACTGACAGGAAGGTAAGTGCACTACTTACTGCTGTGATGGGACACTGACAGGAAGGTAAGTGCAGTACTTTCTGATGTGATGGGACACTGACAGGAAGGTAACTGTAAGACTTACTGCTGTGATGGGACACTGACAGGAAGGTAAGTGCAGTACTTACTGGTGTGATGGGACGCTGACAGGAAGGTAAGTGCAGTACTTACTGCTGTGATGGAACGCTGACAGGAAGGTAAGTGCAGTACTTACTGCTGTGATGGGACACTGACAGGAAGGTAAGTGCAGTACTTACTGCTGTGATGGGACGCTGACAGGAAGGTAAGTGCACTACTTACTGCTGTGATGGGACGCTGACAGGAAGGTAAGTGCAGTACTTACTGGTGTGATGGGACGCTGACAGGAAGGTAAGTGCAGTACTTACTGCTGTGATGGAACGCTGACAGGAAGGTAAGTGCAGTACTTACTGCTGTGATGGGACACTGACAGGAAGGTAAGTACAGTACTTACTGCTGTGATGGGACACTGACAGGAAGGTAAGTGCACTACTTACTGCTGTGATGGGACACTGACAGGAAGGTAAGTGCAGTACTTTCTGATGTGATGGGACACTGACAGGAAGGTAACTGTAAGACTTACTGCTGTGATGGGACACTGACAGGAAGGTAAGTGCACTACTTACTGCTGTGATGGGACACTGACAGGAAGGTAAGTGTAAGACTTACTGCTGTGATGGGACACTGACAGGAAGGTAAGTGCAGTACTTACTGCTGTGATGGGACACTGACAGGAAGGTAAGTGCAGTACTTACTGCTGTGATGGGACACTGACAGGAAGGTAAGTGCAGTACTTACTGCTGTGATGGGACACTGACAGGAAGGTAACTGTAAGACTTACTGCTGTGATGGGAGCGGCAGGGTTTGGGAGATCATCAGTGTCACTTGCTGTTGAGTACACAGATTTGGCAGTATTTCTTCTCATATCACCGGGGCGCTTTGTGTTCACATCTGAAAAAAACATTACATAATCAATAATCTATGTGAAACCAATTTCCATTCTTGTAACTTTAACGAATTTCAACACTAATAACTATGGAAATCCATTTTCTTATAAAATACATCAATTGGGATAAAGGCCACCATTGCCCAAAATATTGGCACTCTAATACACGACATTTTGAACAATGAATAGTCAACCTTTTTACAAATAAAACTCTATTTGTCCAAACTTTGTTCTTCCCAACAATGATGACTAAACTTGCACTAACATAATCTCAACATGGGTATCACATCACACTGTATAGTCGCTGCATGAGGAATGACGAAATACATGAATGTGTTTGTGGACCTCAGCGACGTGTTGGGTATTGCATCTTGCAGAAGACCGCCTCCGTGGCCTAGTGGTAGAGCATCGCCAGGAGTCTCCCAAGGTTCGGGGTTCGATTCCCGGCTGCATCATACCAAAAGACGTTAAAAGATGGCACTTGTTGTTACCCTGCCTGGTGCTCAGCATTAAGGGGCTAAAACAAGGACTGGTCGGCTCTGTGAGTCAGTATACTGTGTCTGAGTGGGGCGTTCATGTTAAACTGCGGCAGGTTATCTCAGTGGGCTTGCACTATAAAATCGGCATCTGTCCAGATTGTTTACTAAATGGTTGCACATATATTTTCCTGAAAATCTGAACTTAAACGCTATTTATCTTTTGAATTAAATAACTACAAACTCATATATTCCTGCATGAAAGTGTTTATTGGCTCAAGACTTATATTTTTATAATGGAAATAAAAGTAACCTTTCCTTAAAACCATCAAATGACATCATGTTTTGTTGGTATATAACATATATAATAAGAAATGGTTTATCGTGACATCAATTAAATAAAGGTTAAGTTTGACACTGAGAGTTTTTAGTTGCTTTGTGATGTCAATAACAACATTTTGGTTTGAGTTGCCATTTTGCTTACATGTGTAACCCAATACAAAGTATTGTTGAAGGTAACCGGAGACAGGTCTACAGAATGACAACGGTTCCTAGGTTCATACAGTTTTCATTTCATAATGAGGCGCTTGAAGGCCAACAATCACATTACCTTCTCATCCTACCAGGTACCCATATACTGCTGGGTGAACAGGGGCAGTTTTGAACAAAGTCACTTGCCTAAGGAGACACCACACATTCTATATTTGGTTCAGTGTGGGGGCAGGCCCGAAGCCCTAGAAAAACACTCAGGAATCAAGCTGCTGAACACTGTCACCTATCCAACTGCTTTAATTCACCTGACTTGTGACCTGTGTGATGTACACAGGACCACATGCCACAATCACATTTCCTGATAAGTTAATTTGTGACCATTTATAAGGCAATTATTTTGGTTTTATTGTTCCCTACATATAAGCTCAGGGCATCACAATCATTTCCAACTGAATATTATCTTTTGTGAACCTAAACTGTACTTGATACATTCATAAATCAATAATATATAACAAAAGAGTAATACCATCTTTATAGATCTGGCCGATGCCCTCCATACAGAGTATTGATCTGCACAATGAACTCTTTTATGAATAAAGAAACAATTAAAATGAACATATGACACATCCTTGCCACATACCAATATTAGGGACTGACCATTAGGTAGCTGGGGTAGGGCGGGCCTGTCCTAGAAAATTCTTGAAAAATAATATTGTGCTTCTGCCTGTTGAAAAATAAAATTCTGCCACAAAAATTACATTGATGCAAAGTGTTGTTTTTTTCAGAAAACAAATATTTAAGCTCTTAGTTTTAATTACAAAGATATCTGACTTTGCAGGTGTAGCTATAGCTGAAAAATATCTTGTCTCAGCGGCCAAGGATATGAAATGGTCGGTTTCTTACAGGAAGAAATGAGTTTAGTTTGACGCCGCTTTGAACAATATTTGAGTTATATCACAGAGTGCAGCTTGATGTGGGAAGAAAACCCAAACTGAAGCAGATATTAGATATTTACTACTTTGTAGAAACCCACGAATCATAGGTCTAGTTCAGAGAAACCTAGAAGCAGGGTAAATCTTGGATTCAAACCCATGAAGATATATTTTCTATATATTTCAACTCTGCATAGCAAACACATAGCCTAAGACAGCTGGGCTTTTACCACATACATTAACTGAAATAATATTCAAACGGTGTAAAACCAAATTCAGCTGCTCCTTTCACCTGTGAAGATCCAGATTAGAAGAGGTTTCAAAAACCCATGCTTGCCGTGGGAGGTGACTATACTCGTCGACTAATGGGATCAGGGGGTCTGGTCGCTGACTTGGTTGATTCAGCATGTCAATGTATCCCAATTGCATAGATCGATGCTCATAAAGTCAATCACTGGATTGTCTGGTCCAGACTATATTACTTACAGACTGCTGTCATATAGCTGGAATATTGCTGAGTGCAGCATTAACAAACAAACGATTAAAAAGCTGCTCCTTCACTGGGTCAAATTAAGATGCAAGGGGTATCGATAGGGCAGAATTATACTCTATTGTTAAGTGAACAAGATTTACACCCATGAAACATGGAACACATGTACATCCACTTGAAGGAGTGTACATCCTTTTCATTTCCACCTTTATATGATGCACGTAAACATCTAGAGTATTGTCTTCATGATTCCTGACATTTAGAAGATATTCCAGCCATTTCTCTACCTGTCTTTCGTACCAACATTTACATTCATACTAATGTCCTCTCCCGAAACCAGCAGTCATCTCTTCATCACGGACATGTCCAGGTATGCATCTCTATAAATCACGACATCAATCACTCAACAGTGCTTTGATTCACTGTATTCTACACCAACACAGATTTATATAGACCTGACCTATTACTCCAAAACAATATCTGACAGTCGTTTAAGCTCTCAATAACTTAGCACAAGCCATGACAGAATTTCATGAACAATCAATATTTCAGCCACAGATGTCAGCTACACTCATTCCCAACTATAATTGAAACAAAAGTACGCACCTATGTACATTCCCAAATTGTGATAGGCCAGTAGTTTCACATTTTCGGCCATGTTGTTGCTTTTCAGCTGTTGTCAGTAAGTAACAGCGTTGTATATTCTGTGTTATTGACATGCATGTCATGCGTCAACATATGTGAGCCACGTCCCCCGATACACACAGCTTGTGATGAACACAGTAGAGGTATAGCTGACCCTGTAAGTGATCCCCCGAACAATAGCCTGCTACAGTCACACTCAAAGGATAATGACATTCTCGCATGTTTTATTATTATCAATGGATATAGCACGCTTTGAATTTGATACCTACTTTTGACTTCTAAAGATTTATAACGACGACAGCCAGGTAAGTTTCAAATTAAAGGTAGAAAAAAAGCATATCAAATTTCTAATCATATCAAGGGCAGTCCATTGATTAGTATGTAGTGTATACAAAACAAATACTGGGGCAGAATCGATCACAAATCTGCTAATCATGGGATTAGGAAATACTGGAGGAATACTAGTTTCTCTAATAATCTATAGTAATGTTACCATAGTAACTACAACAGCTAGTATGAAATGAGCTTAGAATGGATAGACTAATTCATGATGTTTAGATTTGCCAGCCCACTATCCTACATACAACATCATGGTAATTGTGAATAAATGGCCCTCAACATGTAACAAACGTTTTAAATGTCATGTTTCACAGATTTATTCCAGCTTTCCACATAAGGTCAGTCGAAATAAAAATATAAATAAATAGCTATGTCAATCCTATATTCATTTATGTGAAAGTCATTCTGCCATGGAGTTAAAATTGCAGCTGGCTTCTTGAATCACTGATAGTGATGTAGACATGGAATTTATATATAATATTTCATGTCGTTTTAGAGGGTCTATATTACTAGTGAGAGACATAAGTTTATGTTTAATTTCTTTCTTTCCCAGATGCTTTTCAGTAAGGGGGGGATGGACCTGTGAAACGAAAAAAAAAATGTGTGTCCTAAATTAACAACTCATATGGCGTATATTGACAATAATCTCCTGTCAAACATGTAATTGTTTAACCCACAAAATGTTGTGCTTGAAGAATGTGTTACCAAGGCAAATTAGTAATTTTGTGTAATTTGTTAGTAATTTGGTCAATAAATCACATTTGACAAATGAATAAGAAAGTTGACGATTGTTTTGTTTGTCTTCCCGCTAAGTAAGGTCACAGATGGTCCAGTTGGTAAAGGTGCTGATGCCGCTTTTAGCAATATTCCAGTAATATCATGGGAGGGGACACCACAAATGGGCTTCACACATTGTACCATGTCAGGAATCGAATCGAACCCTGGTCTTCCTCATGACGAGCAAACGCTTTAACCACTAGGCTGCCCAACCGCCTGTATGTCCACAGTTGATGTGCACAGTTGCATCTCTTAGTTGTGCCAGAACCTATGACCATGTTTTCAATTGCAAATCCTGGTTTATGTTTCTAGGTTTGTCAGCACCATAACCATGCTCAAGGGTATCACCAAAGTGGTAAATGTCTGAGACCAGTATCACTCACTCCTCCCACACTAAGCTGACACACTGCGATATATAACCGATATAACTGCTGTTCAAAGCATGGTTGAACCTGCCTTTTCCGCCATGACATAGCAGAAAGGCCCTAACTATTGTGATACTTACCATCCCCCCAGCCAAAACAGCGGATGGGAGGATTTGGGCACCCACCATACAAGCAGGTAACCAAGTATCTTTAGCTTAAGCAAATTTAATAAAGGCCTGAAGCCCCATCAGCACCATGCCTGCTGTACCAAATGTTTATTTCGAAATTACAATGCATATTGTACCCAGGGGACAATGCTGAATAATGTTACAAGTGAACATTAAAATAATTAGAATATTAAAATATGAAAAAATAAAATATGGGGTTGGGAAAGTGGGGATACTTAAGGGTGCCTAGCGATGTGACCTGATGCAAGCTTTGAAAAATTTGAAAGTGACGTCAGAGTTAGCTGAGGAAGTGATGTAATTT